CGACTAAAGTATAAAATCTTACATTAGTATAAGTATACTTTAGTAGAAAGCACAAAAAAGCACAAAAATATTGCTTATAAGATAAAATAATTGAGAGACTGCATTTGATTAGTTTCAAGTCATATATTATTTTGTAACTAATGGTTATAAGTTATAAATTATTATTTCAAATTTTATTTGTTAAAACAATAGTTTATACAAACAAATACCACAGCCTTAAATTTAATATTATCGTATATGTTAGTTAGTTTATTTATTTTACAAATTTTTATTTCAGGTTCCTATTGACCGAGGGTAACGCAGTATCCGTTTTGTAAATTATATTTTATTACCAATGTTTATAAGTATAAAGTTTAAATCTAAAGCATTTTCTATTAATAACAAAAGCTATGAAATATTTATAATGTAATTGAGAAGTAAATACGAGGACTGATTGCATATCCTATCAGTCATTATTATAATACTTATAAATTTTATATAATAGTCTGTATCTCACAGTCACTTCTGTACTACACATCTCTTGATATATTTAAATAAAATATATTATACTAGCAGTGAATACCTAATTTCTTTTTAATTATAGCAAAAAAGTATTTTATACATTAAAATAAAAACGATATTTGTTATACATGGGTGATTAAATAAATAAAATTGTATTTAATCATAAACACATTAACAGGTAATTTCCATAGTTGTACATTTGAACGTGTGCAATATAACCCTATGAATTAAAATTATTTCAAATTGGTGCAAGTAACTTTGGTTTTATTTGTTTGTAGCTGATCTACAAGTTATATAAAATTTTTTAAATTGAAAATAGTGGCAGACATGGAGACACAGGTGCCAGTTGGTCACCAACACAGCGTGCAGCTTAATATTGGTGACTTTGTTGCGTGCCATGATGTGCAACGGGCTGGGTATTATCAGATACCGGTGCCAGGTAACATACCGCACATTAATTACCAGCGCGTGAGGGATGCCAAACGTACCCGGCTCGTTATCTTATTAATTTCATTAATTTTAACTATTTTCGCTGTCATATTGATTCTTATTATATTAGTTATTTACAGTACTTAAATAAAAACTCTGTTAGCGCCATGCTAAATTTTATAATTTTAAAATTCTATATTAAATTTAACAAAATAAAATAAATAAATAAAACTTATTTCTAAAAATTTATTTAAACAATAAAACTTTTATACAAAAAGTTAAAGTTAAAGTTTGGTTAAAGTTTGGTGAAGACATGGCTTATTATCTGTGATTTATGTTTATTATGACTAAAACTGTATATAAACTAAAATTATATTATTGGCAATGATAACTAAAATTTTTAACCAATTCACATATGTTTAAATTATTTATTACTTATATTGTGCCAAGTTATTTAATAATTACAAAATATAATACAAAGGATATTATTAAATAGATTTTTGAAAACATAAATATCCCTTTATTGTGGTATTATTTGGCAAGTTGTATAAACATTAATTAAATTATTCAATACAAAAACTATATAGTAATTCACAGATTTAAAATTATACATGCAAAGTGTACCAGTACACTACTGTATACGGTACCATTCATGCAATAATTAAAAAAAATATATTTATTGTATGCTTAGTTTAATTACAAAAATAAAAGCATTAGAAAATAAAATCTATATGTAGTGTATTGAAAAATTTAAAAACTAGCAAATGTGTTAAATATTTTAACAACACATAAACTAACTGGGTTAAAATTAGTTGATTATTTAAAAATGACATCAAATATGGATAATCTTATCCAGAAGATTGAGTCTTTGAGGGCTGAAGTAAACGATTTAATGGCCGACCCGGAGGTAATGGCATCGCATGGCACGGATATCACTAACATTTCTAAGAAACTCGATTACCTTGGTGAAACACAACAATTTTTGAGTGAGCAAGCTGATGTGATAGAATCCATTGACGCAAATGTGGAGACGGCTACCATACAGGTGCGCGAAGGAACGGCACAACTGGCCGCAGCACGTGATTATATGATCCAGGCCAGACGTAAAAAACTTATTATTTGCTCCATTATCACTATCATTGTGATAATATTGACCCTGATATTTGTTGTTATTGTTTTGACAATTCTCTTGATAAATCGGTGCTAATTAAATAAATGTGACAAACAATTATTAATTAATATTTTTATTACTAAATAATATTTTGTGTTTTATTTGTAAACTTTTGCATTAGTAATTAATCTTATTAAAATTTATGCTGTAAAATAAATTTTGTTAATTAAAATCATAGCGAAACTATTACACTTAATTAAAATTATTATTAAAATTAATATTTTTATGTTAATTAAAATGCTAAAAATTATCATGTTTGCATTAAAATGTTCATACAGTATAAATTAGAAATTTAAAAATATTTCACAATTAATGTTTCAGCTAATTAAATAAAACAATGTTTTAAAATGCATTAATAGATAACAATAACTTTGCACAGTTTTAATAATAACTTTTTTCTCATTTATTATCCTAATTATCCCATTTATTTTCAATAAGTACTACATTTATGTGAAATAAAATTAGTGTTTGCTAAACATTGTTTAGTAATAAAAACTAAATTAATAAATAGCGGAAAATCACAAGTTTTAATACAACAACATTTAAATCAACTGTAAATGGATTCAAATCTCGATCTCAAGGATCAAAGAAATAAGATTGAGTTCTTGAGGGCTGAAGTAAACGATTTAATGGCGAACCCGGAGATAATGGGAGCTAATGGTGCGGAGATTATAGCTATGTCTAAAAAACTGGATTACCTAGCTATAGTACAGAGCGATATAAATAGGATTTTGGGTGAACAAGCACAGTTTGTGGACAGAATTAAAGGCAAGATGTATGCCTCCATGCTTGAGGGTCATGATAAGGGACAATTGAACAAGGTAATTGACTACCAGGACCGGGTTAATCGTAAAAAATGTTTGTTTAAAGATTTATTTAAAGGGAAAAGTTCATATAATATTGGTTTATAAGATTTGTTTGATTAAATTAAAACCATGTTTGTAACGAGTTAAAAAATATATGTAATACACAATTTTTAATAAAAAGTTATTGTACTGAATAATAATAATTACCTTGTAATATTTTCATATTATTTTACATTATACAGTATTACATTTGAGTATAGTTGCAATACTACTTTTTTCTATTTATTCATATGTGTAAAAAAGTTTTAAACATTAAATAATTATATATTTGATTTAGTGTAGATACTGTATTTGTAATAGATAATTTTCAGTGAAAACATTTAATTAAACTAAAAATTATTAATAAACTGATTACACAAAATATTGTATACTAACCTCTAAAATATGACAAACTCGGACACCCGGTTGGCTATTGGTCTCACGCAAAATGAATTAAATGGCCTTGCTGATGGTACTTTTGGTGTTGGTGAGGTTCAACCAATGTATAGAGAAAGTATCATCCGGACAAATAGATGTGAATTATTTATAAATCCATTGATCTTAACATTTCTTATAATATTTGCCATAATACTTATTTGTATTGTTTTATTAATATTTTATTTTTCAAAATAGTTAATGTAAATCATGTTTTTATTATTAATGTTACAATTATAAATTAATTAATATGATTTTTAAATACTGTATTTGTTTAATCATCACAGAATTGGTAATGGTAAATATATGTTTTGCTATGCTATTTATTTTTAATATACAGTAAATTAATATTGATATTTATGTATTACATGATTTTTAATTTACATTAAATATTTTGTATTGAATAATTTTAAGTAATTAGCTTTTAAACTCTACAATAATAACATTATTATGCATTTGGATATACAGTACAGTAGTTGTAATGTAATTGTTACTATTTATTCACATATTGGCATAAGTTTGAAACATAAATAATACTAAATAAATCTGTTTTATGTTCTGTACGTAAGTTATATTTAGCAAGTTATTGTTATTATAAACTAGTATAAATAAACTGATAAAATAAGATATTGTTTTCACGAGTTACATTATGGCAAATATGGACACCCCAATGGCTACTGGGCCCCCACAGAATCTAATAGATACCCTCACTGAAGGAAGTACTTGTCCAGGATTGGGTACGGGTTTGGCTGAAGCAAGGTACAAAATTAGACGTTCAACAAGGTGTAAATTATTCTTGAGTCCATTTATCCTATCATTTGTTATAATATTTGTCATTACGCTTATTGTTATTGTTTTGTTAATATTTTATTTTTCAAAATAGTTAACATGATAAATAATATTTTTGTAATTAATATTAAACTTATATTTAAAATAAGTTTTTAAAATAAACATCTTGTACAAGTATTATTATTAATTATAAATATCTAAATACCGGTATTTGTTGTCCTAATATTTATGTTTATTAAATTGCATTGTTATTTTTAATAAATTTTAATAAATAACTTATTAATAGCTATTCTGTTTAAACAAAATTGTAATCATAACCGTATGTCATTTATTAAATAATTTATACTTTATATTGTTATCCAACAAATTCTGTAAAATGTATAAATTATTAAATTAGATTAATGTAGACATTAATTATCATATATATAGATATTTTATTCTATAACAAACTCAATTAAATAGCAATAATTTTCAAGGATTTATATGTAATTAGTTACTAAGTTATAATAGTATCATACTTTAAATACAATTGTATAAACACTGTCATTATTGTTATACCGTATAGTTATAAATGACAAGTAGTGCCAAAAATGCTATAAATTCATTATTATATACTGTATACATTTTGTTCAGAATTTACTTGATAACTTTAGAAAATATTTAAAAAATAAAGTAAAAATGGATTCAAATCTTCATCTCAAGGAACTAAACCAGAAGATTGAGGTCTTGAGGGCTGAAGTGAACCAATTGATGTCAAACCTGGAGATTATGACAGCTAATGGCCGGGACGTGCAGGTTATGCATAAACAGCTCGATAACCTGGCTAGTTTTCAAAAGGTTATAAACACGGCTATGGATGAGAAAGGACATTTGTTGCAATTTATTGATTGTAGTGAGAGACTCGGTGTCACACACACGCACCCGGGTATGGCACAACTGGCCAAAGCACGTGATTATCGTATCCAAGCCCGACATAAACGTATTATATTTTGCTTAATTGTCGTATTAATATTTGTCACTATATTTGTAGTATTAGCTATTGTGGTTAAAATGTTAAACAATTGCTCATTAATGTGATGAATGTTCATAATTTATGATTATTATTAAACGTAACTATTTTTTAAATATATTGATATAAAAAACAGATTTATTATAAATTAGTTATTTGGATGTAAAATAATTTTTATATTTTATATTAGCACACTTTTGTTTATAATGTACCAATAAAACAAACACAGTTATAAATAGATATGATTGTATATGTTATTAGCATAAATGGTATTTACAAATTATATATTACTTATTAATGATGTCACAAAACATAATATTAATTAATTTGATGATCAAAAACTTTTCATTGTGTCCGGTTCACTAAATATTTTTGATACATGTATCATTTAAAGTACACACTATAACCTAATATCAATCACAGTATCCATGGTATCCACGGTATCAATGGTGGCGATCGTGTTAATAGTGTCCACACTCTTAGCCTGATTGGCATATTTGTCTCGTTTGGCACAATAGGCCTCCCGGAAGGCATACATCTTACGGAAGGCCAGCTTCATATTGACGTCATTCCCCACCAAAAACTTTAAAACAAACGCCTGGAAAAAGGCGACCACTGTATGGGGCAAATAGCCGTACGTACGCGACTCTATGCCCACTGTTTTCAGGGCACTGGCCACAAACCTATCACTGGAAGGTATCATCCAGGTGCTCTTAGGGTTCCTGATCATATTGGTGGACACGTAGTAAGGTAGTACACTTTGTATGATAACCCCTTTCCCCGCATACTCGGCCCCTAAAGCCCGGGACAGGTAATCGCCGTAAGCTTTTGACGCTGAATAGAGGGCCAGTAGGGGCGTAGGGAATAGGGCGCTGAACGAGCACACGTTTATAACGATACCGTTCCCCTGGGCCACCATTACCGGCAGTACGAGTCCGATGAGCCGGGTCATAGCCACACAGTTCACATTGAATATCCTGCTCATAAACTCGCGTTGATTGTCGATTCTGGTGAAGAACTCCGGGTACCGGTAGGTGACACCGACATTGTTTACGAGCACATGTATGTCGTCTAAGTCTCGGAGCTGGCGCTCGATGTCGTCGTATATATCGTCGGCGCCGAAGTCGACGACAATTGTCCTAATTTTGGCACAATTTGGGTACTGTTTGTGGATATCATTCTTAACGGCATTCAGTTTATCACTGTTTCGACTCATTAGGACCAGACTGTAGCCCATGTCGGCCATCGCCTTAGCGTAGGCCAACCCTATGCCGTCGGTGGCGCCCGTGATCACAGCCCACGTATTGGGCCCACCCCTCCACTTGGCACCGGCGCCACAATAGTAGGCTAAGCCGTACTTCCATACGAGTTGTGGTATTTTCACGCAAATCCATAGTAAGACTAATAACGCTATTATGAGTAGTATTGCGATGAATACTATTGAGACAATCGATAACTTTATGGTCACATCCATTGTCTTAAAAAGTATTATTTAATACACAAATAAATACATAATACACACAAAACTTGTTGTTTTTTTGACACTCATATGTAGTTTTAGTATTTTGTTTAAGACTTTTTTGTATGACTTTCCTCTGAGGCGACTGTAAACCTCTGAAAGAAGTCCTAAATATTTTTGTTAAGCTTTCGCTGCTATGTTATCATCAGATGTTTTTTGGAGGCAAACAAAACACATGAGTGAACACAACAGGCCTGCAATTGGGTAATCAATTAGATGTATGCGAGGGATAACCTAATTTAGTGGTGGAACTGGTTTTTTCAGCCAAGTCTTATGGCATACCATTCCCTTATGCCTTATGTCATAGTGTTTTTTGGAGGTCTAATAGACTCATATAAAAAAGTTTTTTAGTGAAAGTTTTTCCCCTAAAATACATGTATTGCACTCTATATGCGAAAGTGATGTCAAACAACCAGTTCCCTGAATATTAATCACTGAAATTAATTAATAAATTAATTATTTTTAACCCAATTCTCTATCACTATTGCATTGTTTCCCATAGAAATGTTGTATAGATTTTAATCCATTAATCAAATCTTATGATAAGGTTTTTGGGTATAAAAAGTTAAATTATTTTAATACAGAAAAACTTTTGTGTTTTATTTTTGTTAATTCAAAATTCTTTAGTTAAAACACTTTTATATGTTTTTATTATATTTATTTGTTTATCATAAACAGGTGTTGAATGAAAAATGTTTTAAATTTCGTGATTTAATTAATGATTTAAAGATTATTACTAAAACCAAAAAACTAAAATACGTAAAATAAAAATTGCTTGTTTAATGAATAATAAAAATAATAAAATACATGCGAATAGTATTGACATTAAAATCAATAAATAATAATCAGATAATCGCTTATAAACACAAAATTCATACATAAAAGTCATTATTAATGACTCATTAAAACCTCAATTACTTTATAATAGCATAAAAATCAACGAAAAAGCATACAAATAAACACACTATTAAACAGCACTAGTAGCACCCTAGTAGCACCGGTATCTCATCGTGGTAACAGGTCATCGAGTGCGGCAAATGCATAGCTGGTGGCCGCCCAGACAGCTGTGCACAGATCCAACTGATGCGAGTCCTCCACAGTCATGGTATCGCCATTTGAGTGGTGATAGTAGAAGTAGGTCTCGTGGGCGTTGTCCAGACTACTACCCGGCACACCCGCCGCCATCAGGTAGTCTATGTCGGAGCCCTCCTCATTGAGCGTCAATTTGGTGGCGTTTATAGGGTTCAGCGATTTGAGTACTTCGTTGACAATACACTGGGCGGTGGAGTTGGTGCCCGAGAAGGTGATGCCCAGTGGGGTAAAGGTGCCGATGTCCGACTCCATGGCGATACTCATACGGTTTAGTTCGCCGGCGTGTTGCTGTATTATAGGGGAAAATTAATTATACTTTACTTTAAATGATACAATAAATTACAATAAATTTAAATTAATTCATAAACTGTGTAAAAAATCTCTCATAAATTTGGGCCCTTTTATAACACATAGGCATGGCTACATTTATACGTGGCGTACTAGCAAAAGGGCCTTAAATGTTGCAATGATTAAATAGTATTTTAACTAACTATTATCACTATTAAATTTAATATATTTGTATATTATTTATGATTAACTATTAGAGTAAATTAATTTGAACATGGTAGAAATTTAAAATTCATAATAAATGTCCGTTTTGGGGGCCTAAATGACAGGCAAAATAATAGCCTTTCCTATGTTTTAGATGTCTGTGTTAATAGCCTTACAGCGCGATCCCTCATACTTCCAGTTACGGCTATCCTAACTGGAATTGAATGCCTACCGGCCCTCCCATAAGTACATACCTTGGCGTAGGCCTGGACTCCGATAAGACCCATCTCTTCGCCCGTCCACAGGACTGACCGCATCGTCCGCTTAGGTTTGAGTCCCAACTTCTTGATGACCGATAGGGCCCGCCATGAGATAAAAGCGCCACCGCCGTCGTCCATAGCTCCCTGTCCCACATCCCACGAGTCCAAATGGCCCGACACTAGCACTACCTGCCCATCAAACACACAATTCAATGCAATTATATCAGGGTAAAAAGTTTTAGATAATTTTGTTTAATGTCAAATACTTCGTTGGGTTTATCAGTTCCAGTGATTTCGCTGACTGTGTTCCGGGAGGTGCCCTCCCTGTCCGCCATACTGGCCTCCATATAGAGGCTTACGTTCACTTTGACCCCTAATTAATGAGTTTTTGATGAATAAAATTATGCATAAGTTTCGTGAAAAGTATGACAAAAACCCGTTGGGGAAAGTCATACCTCTGGCGGCCAGTCGACCGAACAACTCCGCGTCCTCTACGGTGATACTGACGGCCGGTATTTTCGGGACACCACTCTTGTAGGCTTTCCAATGAATTTAATAAAAATTATGATTATTTTTATAATTATTTTTCAGTAACTGTTGCATACATTGCATCCCAGTATGTGGTGAGTTGATTGAGAAGGGTGTCACTGATCGCACCTGGATATCAAATAAATGCATTATTATCAGAGTAAAATGATGCATTTAATTAACATACCAGTGCTCCGATAGCACCGTATTTGGCGGCCTCACTGGCTCCCGAGCCCCTGTACTTAACGGACTCGCCATAGCCCTTGAAGTCGTAGTTATAGACCACAAACTTTCCCTTCACTTCTTGGGATCTGTTCGCCAACTCCTCAAAAGTCTTGACCACAACTATCTCGCCGGTCAGTACCTGTCCATCGGTGCCCACACTGTAGCCCAGGCCCAGGATGTTCAGGGGTTTCGCTCGCGGGCTAACCATTTGCGCCCATTCTTTGCCTCTTGTCTTATAAACAAAATCATAATTTTTAACTTTATTTTGCAATTAGTTTATCAATCGTTAATAAATTATAATTATAAATTGAACCAGCTATAATTGCTAATAAATTTATTTAATGCTAGCTATCATACTGACCCAAACAGGGACTTGACACGGTTCACCATGCACATTATCGTGACCCTGAGCCTTCAACAGGTCAAGCATATAGTCAATAGCATTCTCCAGATTCTCGGTGCCCACCAGTCGCGAGCCAAACTGATCCACAAATTTAGCTAGCTCATTATAAGTCACTCCCTTATCATCGCCTTTCACCACGAAATCGATGATTTTCTGGATGTCTGTCGAGATGTTTGCAATCCTTTGCCGTATTTTAGTGTCAAATCCGGGCACAGAATCGCATTGATTGCCATTAAATAGCACTGAATTCACGCTAATTACACATAATGTGAATAAACACGCTATGAATATAATATTTTTTGTCATTTTTGTAATATTCATGTGATTATAAAATGAGAAAATAAATAAATGATTTGTAAAAATAAATATCTTAGTACTTGTACTTAATATCAATCACAGTTTGAGCGCAATATTAGCGATACTTTGACCCAAAATCAAATGATTTGATTCAACACATTATGAACGATAAGACATAGTTATCATTATAATTGACATTCACTTGCACTGTATATTGAGTTTATTAATAGTAGAGTACTTTTTTCTCAATTATTTTGTGCCAATTGTCTACTATTTTCCACAATTGTCTCCCAATTGGCAATTAATAGCTAATACTTTATTGATTTAATAGATAAGAGATAAGATAATAGAAATATTTCCATTGAAATTAGTTTAAGTTTTAAGTTATGATAATTAAATATGACATTTGAAAATTGGTACATTTAAGGTACGGGCATGAATTGTATTTTACTATTTGATAAAAATAAAAGTGAGTTCAATTGTCATTAGAAAAGTATAATGTAAAAGTTTTTTGCTATAAGTATTGTCATACAATCAGAGATTTTATTAAAACACATCTAAATAAACAAATAATTATAAAATAGTAAAATGTATTTCATTTACTTTCAGTCAATATTTGCGCTAAAAATTTTAAATTAAACTTTTTATACAGGTATTATACAAAAATATAACATACATATTTTGTTTTAATTTGTATTATAGTATGTTTTAATTTATAATTATATTTATTAATAGTTAAAAAAACTTAAATTCAATAAAAACTACCAACTCCTATGGGTACCTGTGTCTCAACCCCACCCTTACCGGGGGAGCATATTCTCGAGGGAGGCGAAGGCGTAGGCGGTGGCGGCGTAGTGGGCGGTGCACAGGTCTAACTGGTAGGGGTCCTCCACAGTCATCGTATCGCCATTCGTGTGATGAAACATAAAGTACTTCTCGTTGTGGGTCTCGAGATGAGCGCCGGGAACACCCTTTTCAATCAGAAACTCGATGTCCGGGCCCTCTGTCGCGGGATTCATGTGCGTGGTGTTGATGGGGGCCAGTAGTTTGAGCACCGAGTTCACGATGCATTGACCGGCCGGGTTGGTGCCCGAGTAGGTCAGTCCGTACGGTGTGAACGTTCCCTCGTCCGATTCCAATGCGATACTTATTTTGTGTAATTCGTTGCTATGTTTCTGTGGAAAGACATGTAAGTATTAGGTCCGAGGTATCTATGGCGCTCTCTCTCTCTCTCTCTCTCTCTTACTTTGACGTAATCCTTAACCCCAAAGAAACCCATTTCTTCGCCGGTCCACAGTATGGACCGCACCGTCCGTTTCGGCTGAAGGCCTAACTTCTTGAGCACCGATAGGGCCCGCCATGAGATAAAGGCGCCGCCGCCGTCGTCCATAGCTCCCTGTCCCACATCCCATGAGTCCAAATGGCCCGACACTATAACTGCCTATTATTTGATACAATGAAATAATTTAGTGTAAAAATATCCGCTTAACATAAAATCAAACAAAAACTTACTTCATCCGGATATTTGTAGCCAGTAACCTCGCTGATGGTATTCCTGGACATACCGGTGCCCTCCATATGGGCCTCCATATATAAACTCACTTTTACTGTCTCACCTATTTTTAAGAGTTTTACAGTATAAACATACAAAAATGCAATTTAATAATAACAGTTAATCTAAAAATCTATGCATGGTCACTCAATAATTTTAGTACAGTATGGGTGATCCAATAAGTTCTAATTGAATAGTTTTAACCAAAAAAATAACAAACTATCATTAATCAAGGTAGACTTTTGTTTAATTCATCTGCCCCTCTATTGTACTATACACCCCATATATAAGCAGTTAATATTGTAATACTAAGACCTCTTTGAGTGATTCGGTCGAACAGCTCGGCGTCCTCTACAGTGATACTAACGGCCGGTATTTTGGGAACATTTTCGGCATATGCTGTGAAAACAAATCACTATTTCATTAGAAAAGCATAATTAAAATGAAAAATAAAATAAAATTTAAAAGTAAATAGAGTTTTCTTGTGGTCTATTAATTAATGAATATGAACAAAAATGAATTAACAAGTTCATTGTTAATACATTAAAATAAGTGTATACTCACATTGCATACCAGTGTGCGGTGAATCAATTGAGAATGGAGTCACTGAACGAATCTAGGTGTTAAAATTAATTTTAATATGCTTTACTATTAGCTAGTTTGTAATGTAACACCTACCAGCGCACCGATAGCCCCATACTTGGCCGCCTCATTGGCCCCCTCTCTCCTATACTTAGCAGTCTTGGCGTAACTTTCATAAACAAAGTTATAGACCACAAACTTACCCGGCACCTCATTGGCACGAGCCTTCAACTCTTCAAATGTTTTTACTACAACCACTTCACCGGTTAATACCTTTCCATTGGTGCTCACACTGTAACCCAGACCCAGGATGTTTAGGGGTTTCAATCGCGGGCTAATCATTTGCGCCCATTCTCTGCCTCTTCTCTTAAAAACAAATAAAAAGTAGTTTAAAACACTATTAATAGTCTCTCTCTCTCTCTCTCACCCAGTAC